CCCCAAAACCCCAAAACCCCAAAACCCCAAAACCCCAAATTATAACAAATCTTTGAAATTTCGTTATATTAATTAATGGAGTTATAACTTTTTAGTTCTTCTATATCCTTTTTGCAAGTCTCTTAATCTAGCATTCTGCTCACTGATTTTCTTTTTATACTCCTCAGTAGCGCCTTCTACATCTGATGAGAATTTAGTAAAATTCTTAGGAGAATTAAGCATTGGGGGAGAAACAGTTTCAAAAATAAATTTCTTATTTTCTCTCTTTGAGGAAGTACTGACTCGACTGCTTCTCCGGCTCTATATCAATGAAAATGCCTTGTTACACTAGATATTGGTGTACCATCCTTGGTATCAAAAGTGACATGAGGTAAAGCTGTCTTCCGAGGCTTTTTAACACTTGAATTCTTCCTTGTTGACACAGATTCATCTTCATCTTTAATGGTAGAAAGATTCCTGATGAACCCATCATGACCATCATCTGGTGGTAGTACTGAATTTGGTTTTAAAGTTCCATCTTCTGATTTTTCCCTTTGAACGCTTCTGTTTTTAATAGCTCGAGCATTCATCTTTAGGGAAAAGTGGCTGCTTTTGCTATTAAATTGGGGAGCCTCGATATACTGAGACTTCCTCCTAACTCTGCTCATGTGAATTTTGTGTATACTCTTTCTTGCTTTGACTTTTGTAAATTTGATCTAAACAAGATAAAAATAGGAAAGTTCAACTTTACCTTCTTCTCTATTGTTTCGAGATATGAGTATTCTGGAATTTCTTTAAAAGTCTCAAAGGATTCACCATTATTGTTCTTAAGAGTTTTGCTTCATCCAATGTACAAGCAAAAGCCTATAGCCTTCTTGTTCTTCGCTTTTATAGCTTTGTGAAGAGCTGTATCTCCATCAGCAGAGTGTTGGTAATCCACTTTAATTTTACTGTTGTAAAGAATTTTCGCTACTTTTAATCTTCCATCAAGTATTAACCTTGTGAGTAGAGTGAGCCCACAGACTTTGTTCTCATAGTTAAAAATACTATTGAATTCATCTTCATTTTCATTCTGGTTAAGTTTAATAGTTTTCTCAATCATCCTTAAGAAAGCTCTAGTGTTGTCACTAAGTGCTGCGCAGTCGAGAGCAGTCTCATCGTTTCGGTTCCGGATTAATATATCTGAACCTTTGAAAGTAAGAAGTTTTATTGCATCTATCTTAGCGTTTAGTCAAGCTGCCATTAGAGGGGTAGACTCAGAGTTATCTCACTTCTCATTTATATCGATTCCTTCTCATTTGAGCAAGTGATAAATGCATTCGGCATTTCCTTTCTTTGCTGAAAGATAAAGAGCTGTGGTATTTTTAGGAGTCTTAAGAAGCGGATCTGCCTCATTTTCAAGTAATTTATTTTACAATTTCTTTGTGTCCTGCCATGCATGCATACATTAAGCAAGTGAGACCGTTGTCTCTTTGCCTGTTAATGAGACAAGGCTCTACATTCTCAAGAATGTAATCCACAACATCTTCATGAGCATTTTTGCATGCTAGATGTAAAGGCATGATTTTAGAAATTTTCGAACACAGGTATCTTCATCCATATCTGTATAAAAACTTGAAGATGGAGAGATGTCCATACTGTGCTGCATAATGTAGAGCATTAAACCCATATGCATCCTTGTAGTTTATGTTCAGAGTAGAACTAGCAACAATCATCTGCACAATTCCAAGGCTGAATTAAATATTAGCTTTAACAGTTTGTGTATGAAAATTCACTAAATTTATGAAAAAAATCAGGTTATTTTATCATTGAATTATTTAGAAAATAAGTGAAGTATTATTTGAAATGTTTTTTTTTCTAATATAGCAATGATTCTAAGTCCTACAGATACTATAAACTCTACAGAAAATCTGTTAATCCTCTTTTAGAGCTTTTAAAAATATGTGTCATTATATTCCTGAAAAATGTATGAGTTTTAAACTATCCCAAAGATCTCCAAAGCGTGGCAAGGTTCACTCCTCAGAAATTTGCTGAATATGGCTGCTTACTTTCCCTTAGTGACTGCTCAAATCAAGGGTGATATTTCATCAACTGTGAAATTATAGTTGAGCACGTTGGGTTCCAGTATGCCTAAGTCCATCAAGTACGAATAATCAGAGGTTTCTATCGCCTTTATTATTTCTTTCTAGTCAAAAGATTAGATTGAGATCTCAACAAGACAAGCACAAAGAGTGAAATATTACGTTATTTATACAGTAAATAAACCTGACATACTTGCTTTGAGGTTAATTCTTTACCAAAGTCTATCATACTATCTCTTTAATATTTATTTCTATATCTCCCTTTTATTATGGGGTTTTGGGGTTTTGGGGTTTTGGGGTTTTGGGG